GGAGAACAACTCCAATGTGCCATTGTTATCAGTTCACAAAGATGGCATCAAGCTCTCTGTTCGAGGATAACCAACAATGTCGAGATATTCGGGTATATCAAGCCCGCAAGCCGGTGGGATGGGAAACGTTTGGGAGGTCTAGACAGCATCTCTCGGATGTGCAAAGCCTTTTCGACACATTCGAAACCGAGCCTCACTAAAACAACAAACCAATGGACGGTTCCAACCCTGGATCCCACGGTGCTACTAATGCCGACAGGAACGTTCTCAGCTTTGGCTGTGAGCTCGAGTTCATTGTGGCCTGGATTTTCGACAACGAGCCTGACCCCGATGAGGGCAACAAAAACCTGGCCCCTATCCTGAGGGTTCCCAATAACCTCGAAGAACTCATTGAATCGTACATCCACAAGCACTTGAACCACACACTTCGGAAGGCTGGTTTCAAAATCCAGCGCGACCTTGGAGAGGATGAAAAGACCTGCAGATTTGGTCTCGCAGTGAAGCCTGATATTACTGTCAAGGAAACGGAGGGTGAGGAACAGTGGAAGGGTTATCGCTTTCAAGGATGCGAGCTCAATTCCTCTGCCTCGTGGACGTCAGCAGTAGCTTTCCAGGAGCTGGAACTGGTCACTCAAACTTTGCTACGCAATTACCGGATAAGGGTCAACTCCTCATGTGGACTGCACCTTCACATAGGAAATGGCTTGAAGCCACTCAACACGCAGACAGTGAGAAGGATTGCAGCGCTGCTGTGGTGTGTTGATCCGATGGCCGGCCAAATTCATCCTCCACAGCGCAGAAGGGGGCTAATGACTCTGTCCATACGGGACTTTAGCAAGTTTGCCAGGGAAGGGTATATTTCCTATAATGTGACGGCCGAGGAATTCTTCAAGGATGGCAGGATAGGAAACCCCGCCTGGGGCGGATATCCTAGGATGGCTTCATCCGCGCCGGCCCGCAACCGTCGCTATGCCACTTCTCGTCTTCCCACCACCTTGGCACCCAGGGCAGAACATGACAAGCTTGAGGAGAAGTTTCCGGATGGCTTCTACTGGGTTGACCTTTTGGGGATCCCTGGTCAGGCGGGCGAGTATTCGGCTCTAGACGGCGGCTGGCGGTTCCTCGCCTGCTCCACGATGGAAGAACTCAATAAATCAATCTCGCCTCCACACAAGCCCAATTACAGCTTCACTGGATACGAAGGCGACATGAATGACAACGGTCGAGATGAGTGGCTAATTGATGGAAACGAGGTTAGTGACAAACTCACCATCGAGTTCCGTCAGGCCATTGGGTCCATGGACGCAGAATGGATCTGTGCTTGGGGCCGCATTTGCGCTACCATTGTTCTCTTCGCCAAGAACGCCAGTACTGTCGATTTCTTCGGCATGGCATTGCGCCTTGCTCAAGCCCAGGGTGACTTTGGCGACCCAGGCCCTGCTCCTTATGATTTTATCGACTTGCTCGAAGATATCGGTTGCTTCGCCGAGGCGGAGCTGCTGGAGATGAAGCTTCAGGACTGGAGGCTCTTCTGGTTTCCGTGCTGCAGACACGACGCCGTTCCTGACCGCGAAACCGAACGTCCACCGCCGCCTGAAGACGACGGTTGGGGGTCTGCCCTTTTTGGAGGGAAGCCGGCGGCTCCGCCTACTTGGGGTAGTGAGTCTGACGGAGAGCCCGTGGATAAGCCCAATAACGAAACTCCTGAAGGTGAAGAAGACAAGTGGGACCCATATTCAGACCACGATGAGGAAAAGCCGACCAAACCTGAAGGTGGGCAGCCGGTTGAGCCTATCAACCAAGTTCTTTCCGAGCCAGAGAATGCGACTGCAGCCGGAGACAACGCTGTGAGCAATGCCAACCAGCAGACGACAACAGGACAGCAGAATCATCCGGTTCCTCAATCGGGGGTAACACCGGCGATTCTGCCGCAGATGGCTCAAGACGCTTACAACCAAGCGTTCCCCCACGGACATTTCAGGATGTTTGCCTCACCTGAGGGCCTTCTTTGCGGACTAAGGACTATCGTTTCGAGCTTCAAGGTTCAGCAGAAGGGACTTACCCCTCCAACCCTGGAGGAGCTGATGGCCGTGGCAAATGCGCAGCTGGAGGAGTTCAAAGCAGGGGCCGGTACCGACAACCCGGCCGAGCTGGGCGTCGAGTTGAAGAACTTCACGGTTTGTCAACTCGGCGGCATCCTGAGGCGGTGGGCACAGGAGAAGCACGGCCTTAGGATCGGCCTCGGCGTCCTGCACGAAGAGAAGCTGCCGGCCCTGGAGCTCGTCTGGCCGGAGGACGGTGACGATCGCGTCGTCTGGATACACAACAATGATCAGGAGGGCAAGGAGCTGATGCTCCCGGTGGCTGACAGGCCGGGCGAGTTTCAGAAAATAACTTTGCGTGGTCATTGGTCTCCGCTGCGACCGAAACCCGACCCTAACAAGTCGAAGGACGCGCCCGAAGACCCTGCCTATGACTCGAATAGCGAAGACGGGCAACCAAACCCCGACCCTAAGTCAAAAGACTCGCCTGAAGACCCTGCCTATGACCCGAATAGCGAAGACGGGCAAATGCAGATGGCAATTTGGGCAAGCCTTCAGCAGAATGCGGAGCCCGAGGGTCTTCCGCAGAACGTGGAGTCGGAGGAGTCGGAGGAGTCGGAGGAGTCGGAGGAGGAGTAGTGCTAGATGGCGCGTTTATTTAGAGTCGTATAGTTAGAGGAATTATTTTGGGTTTACACGAGTTCGGCGTCGTATAAAAAGGGGGTGGTGATATTACCTTACTGTCAGAACTATCCATCTAAGAATAGTCTTTGCTTGTTTACAGCACATGATAATTAGGGACCAACCTTTTCATTTCTCATCGATTCTCATACATGCTTTACCAAACAGATATCAACTGGCTGTCCGCCTTTCCAACAACACTGCGTCTTCAACTCCGAGACCATCCTCAGCCCCCACCCTACTTCAAGTCCTTAAAAGCCGGCGCCTTCTTCATATACTCCTCCCAAGTAGTCAGCTTATCCTCCACCAACCCATGCGTCCACTCCAGACTCTCACCACCGTAGTACCCATACTCCTTCAGCAACCTCATATTCTCCAAAAGCTCCACGGCCGCGAACTCGGGCATCCCCGTGCCCGTCAGGATCTTGACGTACAAATCGTGCGGCAGCTCGGCGTACGCGGCCGTCTTCCCGGCCTCGGGAAAGGTCTTCTTGAAGCTCTCCACGATCTCGCGGAGGGTCATGTAGCTCGTCGCCCCCAGTACGCGCTTGCCCAGCGTCTCGTCGCGGTGCAGCACGGCGGCCTTGACGTACTTGCCCGTGTCGGCCGTGTCGAAGAGGGGCGCGACGGCGTCCTCGGTCACGGGGAGGGCGAGGACCCAGGCGTTGTCGTGGTCGGGCGACTGGCGGAACATGCCCCCCGGGATGTTGGACATGTAAAAGCCCGGCATGAAGAAGGTGGCTGGGATGCCGACCTCGCGGGCGTAGGACTCGACTTCGGCTTTGGAGTCGAAGTGGTAGACGTGGGGGAGCTTGCCGTTGGAGACTGCGTGGAGTTAGACGGGCCTTGTCAAGGGAGGTATAATGATGGAGACGGAGCGATTGGGGAAATCTGAAGCCAGACGGGTATGTGCATAGTCGGAGGACATTGAAAGGGATAGGTGAGAAAGTGTATGTGCTGAGGAGGGGCTACTCACGCTTGCTGATGTTGAAGAGAGAGCTCCAGATGAACTGCTGCACGCCGGTCTCCTTAGCGGCGTCCACGAGGTTCTTCCCCTGCTGGATCTCGAGCACATGGTCCATCTTCTCCCAGTAATTGGTGACAGCGTACACAGCTGCCGCGCCCGTCATAGCCTTGACCAGGCTAGCTTTGTCGTTCACATCGGCCTGTTCAGTGGGTTAGAGACAGCATGGTCAGGGATGAAGACGACTACTAACGCTTATGACCTCCGCTCCCTTATTATGGAGCTTCTTAGACGAATCCTTGGTAACATCGCGAGTGACGGCTCGGACAGCCCAGTCCGACTTCAGTTTGACATCGTTGAGGAAGATGTCGGCGACAGAGCCACCTTGAGCACCGGTGGCACCGAAGACGGTGATGATCTTCTTAGCAGCCATTGTTGTACGTACTTGCTCGGTTATGCTTTGCTTGAGGTGTAGCTGCAAGTTGGGCAGGAAGTGAATATTGGTGAGTTAACTCGAAGAGATATAGCTTGTAGCTCTTAGGATTGATAGTAGCAGATGTTCATGATGGACCGAGGTATTTGGGACCATTAGAGACAGGGACCCTCCGCATTTATACTTTCACTGTGCAGCTGCTAAGCATTTAGAAGGAAAAGCTGAATGCTGTCTACAGGGCAACAGTTTCGCTAAGCACACCACCAACATGAACGGCTATCCGGACTTTAGTTCCAAGCTCTTGGTCATTGTCTTGACGGACAGACGAAAGACCGAATCCTGAACATGCAAAGTGCTTGTAAGCAATTACATGATGGAAGCATTGGGACGGAAACAGAAGATGTCATGGATAGCCTTGTAGGATCCGTGGTCGCCTACAGTGATACACAGTACGGCGCCGTACGTCATGCAATCGAGGAGTCGGCCATTGAGCCGTCCGGTGGAGGTGAGAGGAGTACGCTAGAAGATGTCCAGCGTGTACACGTGTAACACTCCCACAGTAGCGCAGTTTCCGGTCCCCGAGCTGGATACTCGCGAGGTGCTTGTAAGGATCGTTAATCGCCCCCACACCACGCGCGCGGGTATCAGCCCGAGGGGAGCTGGAATTGGCGTCTTAGTAATTCCCGCTCGTTAAGCTTAAACCGTCCGACGGACGAAAGCAGGGCAAAAGGTTGACAAAGCATCAGGCTCGCGGAGAAAAGAGACGCGACAGAGCGAATGGACATAACATCGGCGATTGCATGATTCATGGAGTTAACGAGCCGGCAGCCCAAAGGCTAAAAGATCGAACAGTATAGACACACTCAAAAAGACAAAATGATGATCGCTGCAGGGCTCGAACCTGCGGCCTTCTGCGGTGCTGTTATATGTAAAGCAGATGCTCTAACCAACTGAGCTAAGCGACCCGTTAGAAGGATTTGCCGCTTATCGCGTGTCAAGATAGTACTCTTCAATCGTCCACGGTCAGGCTCCACTCGTTACACATTGTCACGGGACTGTCAGGCTGAGAGCGGAGTAAGGCTAAACAGATGGTATTTGCTACGGACAGACTCAATCCCGTGGTTGCGGGCAGGCTGATGATAAGACGTAGCTCGAAGAGCTACAAAATATAATGGACAGAATCAATATAAAGATATTTCTTTGTCGCGGGCCCGCACTAGGCCTACCACGTGACAGGGTCACGTGGCTCAATTACCTGGGGCCTCAGCGCCGTGACAGTACTCCCCTCCTCTAGGGCGGAGCTCCGACGACGCAGTTACGGTCTGGGCTTGTTCGGGTACCGGCGGTGAAAGTTGCGGACGATCTCCTGTGCGTTCTCCAGGTGCTCGGCGGGTGCTTCGGTGGGATCGTCGTATCCAACCCACTTGACAGTATACTTTAACCGAGGGCCGCCCCGGCCTCTCCTCTCCCAGCGGGAGTCCAGGATGTCCTCGACCTCGAATTCTTCGATGCCGTCCACCTCCACTGGGGGAGGAGGAGCATGGCACTGACCAGGCAAGGGATCGGTGGCAGCGGGTCGGAGCAGGCTGACATGAAAGACAGGGTGTATCCTCATAGACGCAGGCAGCTCCAGACGGTAGGCATACGGGCTGACGACTTCGGCGATCCTGAACGGTCCGAGTAGTTTCCAGTCGAGCTTCTTCTGCGGTCGGGCAGTCTTAATATTGCGGGCGTCTAGCCACACTTCCTGGCCTTCTTGGTAACGGCGGGCAGGTCTCCTTTTCCGGTTGGCGTACTCCTCTTGGCGGGCTTGGGCGAGACAGATCTCGGATTGCAGGTACTCGTGGATCGTTTTCATCTTGAGGACCAACTCCTCAGAGTCGCGAGCGGCGCGCTGTGGTCCAGGCTGTACAGGTTCGAATCCTAGGCGGGGGTGGAAGCCGTAATTGGCGAAGAACGGTGTCGTGCCGGTGCTCTCGTTGATGGCGTTATTCAGGGCGAACTCGGCAAGGGGTAGCCATCTCGACCAGTCGTCTTGGAGGTAAGAGACCTGACCACGCAGGTACTGTTCCAGGAAAGCGTTCGCGATCTCGGTCTGGCCATCTGTCTCCGGGTGGTATGCAGTCGATAGCAGGGCTTTGATTCCTAGGCGGCGGATCAGGTGCCTCCAGAACGCGGACACGAATTGGGCTCCACGGTCGGAAACAATTGTCTTGGGGAGGCCATGTATCTTCCAGACATGCTTGGTGTACAGGCGGGCGACTTCCTCGGCATCACAGGTTCCTTTGCAAGCTATGAAGTGCTTCATCTTCGTCAGACGGTCTACTACGACGAGGATCGCGTCGTACCCATCGCTTTCGGGTAGGTGTGTGATGAAGTCCATGGAGATATCCTGCCAGGCTCGGTCGGGAATCGGTAAAGGTTTGAGTACCCCCTGGCGTGCTTCTCTGGAGACGGTGCTTCGCTTGCAGGTGTGGCAGTTTCTGACCCATCGCTCGATATAGGATAGCATACCCGGCCAGTAGTATTCTCTCGAAATGGCCTCGTAAGTTCTCGCTCGGCCCATGTGTCCGGTGACCGGGCTCTCGTGGTACGAGCGTACAAGCTCAGCGAGCAGTTCTTGATGTTCAGGGACGTACAGCCGGTCTCGATAGTACAGGTATCCGTGTCTGTTCTCGCACTCGGCTAGGGTGATACGCGGGTGGCGGGCGTGGTTCTCCTCTAGGGCCTTCAGTATGGACCGTAGTGTTTCGTCGGACTCGTACCCTTGTTCGAACAGTGCTTTCACCGGTGGGGGCAGTAACGGAGCAGTTCTCTCTCGTGAGCGGACGGGGCGGACTGGCTCAGGGTCTGGTTCCGTGGCTGCGGTCTCTGGTCTCCTTGTGCTTGAGCGTGTCGTAGCTCTTAGCTGTACTGGTTCCTCTGTGAATCTGACTCGTCTCTTGCTGGGCGGGGTGGGTTCCTCGAAGTTGTGGCTCTTCAGTACTACCTGGCTCTGGTGTAGCAGGCGCTCATCTCCCTCCTTCGGGAGGTCCTCTGACCTCCTGGTCAGAGCGTCAGGCTTCGCTCCTTGTTTGCCGGGACGGTAAGTAATCTTGAAGTTGAACCTGGAGAGGAATTCGGACCAGCGGGCTTGTCTGCGGTTCAGGAGTTTCGTCGTCGTGAAGTATTCTAGGTTCCGGTGGTCTGTAATGACCTTGATCGGGGAGCTCGTTCCCTCCAGTTCCGGGCGCCATTCCTCGAAACAGCGAATAATTGCCAGGAGTTCCTTATCGTAGATCTCGTAGTTACACTCCGTTACCGAGTGCTTCTTTGAGAAGAAAGCAACAGGCCGTAAAATGCCGTCATCGCCGTACTGCGATAGCACACCGGCCGACACGAAATCGGAAGCGTCGGTTTCCAAGATGATCTCTCTTTCCCAATCGAACGGGGCCAGGACGGGCGCGGTCGTGAAAGCAGTCTTCAGTCGGTTGAATGCCTCTTCGCAGTTCTTATCCCAGTTGAACTTCACCCCCTTCTTAGTGAGGTTGACTAGCGGGGCGATGATCTTCGAGAACCCTTGGATGAAGCGTCGGTAGAAGTTCCCGAAGCCGATAAAGGCTTGTACATCGGTCAGGCAGGCGGGCGTTTTCCAGTTGACGATCGTCTCGATCTTCTTCGGGTCCATCTGGATTCCTTCTCGGCCCACGATCACTCCGAGGAAGGTGGTCTTGTCCTGGAAGAACTCGCACTTCTGGATCTTGGCGTACAAGCCGGCTTCTCGCAGGGCCGCGAGGACCTTCCTTACATGAGCGATGTGCTCCTTTCTCGTGCGACTGTAAATCAGGATATCATCTAGGTAGGCTGTGCAGAAAACGTCTAGGTACTCTCGCAGGGTGTCGTTAATAAACCTCTGGAAGGTTGCTGGCGCTGCGGTCAGGCCGAACGGCATAACGAGTGACTCGAACAGGCCGAACCGGGTACGGAAAGCCGTCAGGTATTCTTGTCCTTCCTTGATACGGATGTTGTTGAACGCAGAGATAATGTCGATCTTCGTGTAGTACATCATCCCTTTCAAGTTGCTGAGGGATTCCTTCGTTAGCGGCAGGGGGTAGCGGTCCTTGACGGAGATGTTGTTCAGCGCACGGTAGTCCACACAGAAGCGGAGTCCTCCTCCTGGTTTCTTGACGAAGAGTACTGGCGAGGCAGCAGGAGACGAGCTGGGTCGGATGAAGCCTTTCTTTAGGTTATCCTCAAGCCATTCCTTAAGGGCCCTCAGCTCGTCGCGGGACATCGGGTACAGAGGTCCAAAGGGCGGTGTCGCTCCCTCAATAAGCTTGATCTCGTGGTCGTACCGACGGTGTGGCGGTAGCTTGTCTGCTTCCTTCGGGGAAAAGACGTCACGGAAGTCTCGAAGCTCTAGTGGCAGTAGTTCTTCCAGGTCCGGTGCGTCGTGTTGGCTAAGCTGTTGTTCTATGTCTTCTATGGTGACAGAAAACATCTGGTAGTTCCTTCGGGCGTACGCTGAGCAGGCTCGCATTGAAACTTCTGCGATATCCATGTGTTCTAGTCCGGTGGGGCGGGGCGGTAGGTAGGTCGGGCGGTCTCTTTTCGGCACGTCGTGCAATGCTCTGATCTTGGACGGGCGGGCGGGGGTGTTGCAGTTCTTCTGGCAGTACTGGCTGTCAAAGGTGAAGGTATGGCTGGCGAACCCGACCCTCGGGTCGTGTTCCTTTAGCCATGGCATTCCTAGTATGACGGGGTAATACGCTAGCTGCGTGACGTATAGTCTGATCTCTTTCTCGAAGTGGTCCTCAATCCTCAGGCTGGTGATAACATAGTGGGTGACCTTCCCACTCTCGGATTCTCGGCCGTCAAAGACCTCCAGGGCGAACGGTCTCTTCAGTTTCTTTAGCGGGAGCTCGTGGCTCTCGGCCCAGCTCTGGTCAACAAATCCCTTTCCTTCGGCGCCAGAGTCGGCTAAGGCGTAGGTAGGCAGTTTCCGGTCTCCTAATTCCAGGGTGGCGGGTAATATCATTAGGTGGGATCTCATGTCCTCTTCTTCGCGGACCGAGAGACCCTTGACGGCGGCAGCAGAGATCTTCAGCGTTCTTAGTGCGCGGTTCGGTTGGTGTCGTGTTGTGCGCTCTATAGGAGCCTGTGTGCGACTTAACGCAGGCTCGCTCCGTTTACCGAGACCTCAATGCTCGGCTGCGGGCTGCGGGATCTGGACGAGGACAAGCTGGCGGGGGAACCGGAACGGGCCACTCTGGCTTGTAGGCGGGAGCGAGTATCGGGGTGGGGGCAATCGGCAACGCGGTGGCTCTGAGAACCGCAACGGAAGCATTCTCCTCTCTCTCGTCGGCCTCCAGGGACGAACCGTGACCCTCGCTGCGCGCTGAGGTCCATAGGCTCGCCGCGTTCGGCCCTCGTCTCCGGTCCCTTCGCGGGCGGGGAGATGGTCTGCGGCCGGTTGGTGCTCGGGGCCGGGGCGGTGTAAGATCTTCCAAGGGTCGGCACGGGTTGGTTAAAGCGTTGACGGCGGTTTTCTAGATTCTGTAGGAAGGCAGCGTACTGGTGATATTCCCGACTGGGCGGTTCGTGGTGAAGCAGCATGCTACGCAGTTCTCGGGAGATGGCTTGTTCTAGGAGCGTCGGTAGGGCTTCTTCTGACATCTGTCCCTCGAGGGCGAGGCGCTGGAATTCGGCGAAGAACGTGCTGAAGTCCTTGTTTGATTGGCGCAGGCGGAAGAGGTCGTTTCGGGCATTGTTGACGAGGTTCGGGTCTCCAAAGGCGCGGTCCAGCTGGTCCAGGATCTTGTCGTAGTCGGAAAGCTGACAGACGCCTTCCTTGATGTGCGGGAGAATCTGGGCATAGGCAGGGCCCTTCAGTCGGTTGGTAACATAGGCCATACGGCTCTGGGGTGTGGGGAAGCGGTCGCGGTTAGCCTTCATCTTCTCGTGTATCTGGGAGACGAAGCGGCGT